TGAATTCTAACTCGAAACATATGCATTCCTATTCATATTCATATTAAGAGTGAATCAAACAGACTTAAGTCCACTCAGCGCATCTGCTACGGTGAGCAGTCCTCCAGCTGACCCAGGCAGTAAGTCCTGGTATGGAGGTCATCATCTAAAGTGGAGGGGAAACTTTAGACAAACTTGTAGGATATAAAAGCACAAGTAAACTAAAACATGTTAAGTGAAAGAGTAATATCCCTGTGTGTGTGTGTGTGTGTGTGTGTGTGTGTGTGTGTGTGTGTGTGTGTGTGTGTGTGTGTGTGTGTTCAGTCAATCCCCCTGTATCACTATGTGCTGTAATCCACCTGTGTGTGTTTGTGTGTTGTGCCACCTGACATGAGCTTGCTCCTCTGGGTAGGTATTGGATGGAGGGGGATGTGAGGTTTGTGTGTAGCAAATAGAAGCCACTGTAAAGAAAAAGAAGAAGAAGCACTGATGCAGTCAGAGCGTTGGGAATAGAAAAGGCAGTAGTCTAACATGGGTCAGGTCAGAGTGTTTCTATGAGTTTGGAGCACCAGTTGTACGTTGCTCTGTCTACTGCCTGCTTTGCACTTGAATTCTTAAAATTTTCTCTGAAAATGCTCTGGTGTTTTCCATGCTCATCCCAGCAGTAGGAAACTTCCACTGCTTGCAGCAGATGTATTGATGCTGATGGGAGTACATGCATCTCTGATGTGGAAGCTGCACATGGTTTACATGCTGTGTGCGCAGACACCTGCGCGTCCCTCTCAGCAGGAGGAACTGCAGGAGCAGCCACAGCCTCTCTGGAGCTCTCTGAAGCCACAGATTGTCTAATTAGATTAGGCAAGGCTTTCCACAGATAATCATTTAGCCAGCTCTGTTCTGTTTTGTGAGCTCTTTTCTTTTTCCTCCTGTTTTCCTGCGATGGAGCGCTTCTTGTGCCTGTCAGCTCGCTGAAGGTCAGAATGAATTTCTCTTCAGTTTGATGAGTGAAGCTGTGGGTTATGGGCTGGTTCTGGAACTGTGATTGTCACGCTGCTCAGAGTAATCGGACTGCCACTAATACCTGCTGCTGCTGCTAACTGGAGGCGATGGGGGAAGTTTGTGTGAGTAAATCCTTTCTTCTCCTCAGGCTTGTAAAGAAGACATTGCTTTGTTGCT